ACACACACTTGTGGATGGATGAAGCAAGCACTGATGACTGTTTCGACGCAAAGTTATTATGGGTGCGTTTGGTTCAAGGACGAAGTTGAATGAGATATAATGATCCATAGATATTGGGATAAGAATACCCATAATACATGTTTGGTTAAATGGATAGGAATAGCCATTTTTCGGTTTGGTTGGATGGACGAAGATGGATAGGATGAGAATAGTTGACTAATTATATCTATTATTTAGAAATAATAACGACTAATTAAACACTAATAAATATGCACTAATAATACTTTTGTCATGATACTCACTAATTAAAAATAAACATGTTAATTAGCACCACTAATAACCTAATTAGCACACGAAACATGCACTAATCAACGTATTAGCACTTATCTAAACTAATCCTACCTCAAATTACTAAGTAATAATATAATATACTAATAATCCTTAATTTATTTACTAATAACAAAGATTAGAAGACATGGAAAAGCTGGTCTGTGAGATTTTTACGAACCAGAAAATCCAGCATTTTATAGTATATTCCCTGTCCAGGAATTTCCTTATCTCAGTAATCCACCAAACCAAACACTGGATATCCATGGATGATCTATCCCATCCATAGATATCATGCAACCAAACATAATCGGTCAGTAACTCCGTCCGTATGTAAGCAAAACGCATGCAAAAGTGAAGCTCTAGTCTCAGCTTAGCAAATTATATACTCAGCACGCATCTTATGAAATCAACCCCCCCCCCTAAGAACTCAATCTATTTGCCTTCTAGTGGCTACGTAGCGTGTAGTAAGTAGTAACGACCGTATCGGACCCTGCTTGGTTATGCTGTGGCTTGTACAAAAGTTGTTGTGAGCTGTGACTTTTGTAAAAGCTACTGTGGAAAAGTTGGAAGCCTCTTTGGTTGAACGGTTGACTTTTGGAAAAGTTTGTCTCACTTACGAATGGGACCCACATGTCATGCACACACCGCCGCGTCGCCGCCAGAGGGCGCCCCGTGCCTGCCATCGGGCCGTCAGGCGGGGCAGCCAGCAGACCACCGGCTCGAGCAGAGTGCCGCTAACGCTGGAAAGGATCGCCGCCACGGAGTGACGACGCGCTGCTTAGGGCGGGAAGGCCGTGCCGCTCACGGGAGAGGTCGCGCCGCCCGTCGAGCTACCGCAGTCTTGCGCCAGGCGGGAAGGCAACAACGTAGTAGGGAGGAGAGGCCCACGCCAGCGAGGGGAAGTCCGCGCCGCCTGCCAGAGGGCCACACGGTGGCGGCGCCATCTTGCTTCCTCGCGAGCTTCGACGGGAACAGTCGCAGACGGGAAAGGAGAGAGAAACGAATCGTTATGTGTGGAGACTTTGGCATTTCACCCGTCATCGAAAACTGGTTTCGTACTTTTTCCATCCCGCAAGGTGGTTTCGCTCGTTTGCCATTATGAAACTGGTGTAACCCGCTGAAATACATTTCGGGTAGTTTTAATTCATGGGAAAAAAAGAAGGCACGTCCTTCCGGTTCTACCCCTGCCTGCTTTCTCACCACATGCCGTGTCCGGCCGCGTAGGCTCACAAGCTTCTCCTTCGCGCACATCGCCAGAGGCGCAGATGAGGGAGGAGGCCCGACGAGCAAAGATGAAAAGCGGAGAGGTCGGTCTCCGTGATGGGCGCCAGGCGGGCGGGGCGGCGGGCCGGCCGCCGCGCCGGTGAGGAGGCTGCGCAAGGAAGGAGCGACCCACGAGCGGGCTGTGTGGTCGCCGTCGGGCGGGCCGTGTTGAGCCGCTGCCGCTTTCTGTCGCGAGCGACCGTCGAGCTTTTTGTCGGGACAGGAGGGTGGAATGATGAGCCTCAACGTCTTTGCTCCTCCTGCGCTCGGCTCCGCCACCTCGTCGTCGCTCATCGAGCCGGAACCGCTGGTCGACCACGGCACCGGCGGCGGCGAGACGACCACCTCGGCCGAGAGTTCACGGTGACCATCCTCGTCGTGCGACCGCCCGGCGCCGTTGATCGGCATCCGGGTGGGCGCGCGCACGTCCGGCGCGTGCGGCGTCGGGCATTGGCGTCCGGTTCAACCACCTCACGGCCTTGGAGCCCCTCGTGGACTGCGCCGGCGTGCGTCTGTGGTTCGACGTGTAGCCGCGGGTGTCGGTGGTGTTCCTCTGCTTCGGGTCCGGGTCTCCGGGAGCCTGGGCTGGTTCGACGCCGCCAAGGCCTCTCCTGGCACCGGCCATGCGGCACTTCTGTGGTATTGCTGGCAGCCCCCCATGGCCGACTCGCATGGCACCGTCCTGGGCGCTTTATGGCTTTGGCTCGGGCGGCGACGCGCTGATGGCCGGTGGAAGCGGGGCGGCACCTGGTCCATTGATCCGTTTTGACCAGGAACGAAGAACGGTGACCGTCGCACAAGGAGAAAGCAGGCAAGGGTAGAACCGGAAGGACGTGTCTTCTTTTTTTCCACGAATTAAAACTACCTGAAATGTATTTCAGCGGGTTACACCAGTTTCATAATGGCAAACGAGCGAAACCACTTTGCGGGATGGTAAAAATGCGAAACCAGTTTTCGATGATGGGTGAAATGTCAAAGTCTCTTATGTGTGTAACCAGTGATAGGTGGGTAATTTTTTGGACCAAAAGCAGTTGAAAGTATAAGGGAGGTTGCTTTCAATTTTGTACTAGAGTAAAAGCAGCTTTTAAGCCTTTTGGTTGAGCTTTTGGCTTTTGAGGGCAAAAGCCATGGCCTAAAGCCCAGCCAATCAAGGCCTCGTTATATTGAGCGACCTTCTATGGGGAACATATATATATATATATATATATATATATATATATATATATATCGAGTAGCAAACAAACAATTATGCACGCTGTTCATCGTATCTATCCTCCATGGCCGGCCATGAGGCCCGGACCGTGCATCTTTACCATCTCCATATATACCACACATTGTTAATTTGTTGTGCTTATGTTGCCTGCAACAGCGCAGCCTGAATCCATTCGCCTCGGAATAATCATATTCCCGCATAGTCACAGTCAAAATAGCATAAGTTCAATTAAGTTTATAAAGAAAATATTAACATTTATGGGACACAAAAAGGAATACTCTCCTTTTCAGCTAACGAACAATGTTTTTCTTTCACAACAAATCAGCATAAGCCAAATTTCATCATAAACGAATAGGGTGACTATATGAAACTATATCACATAACAAATAGAACGGTACTAATTTGATATCATGGATATTGATACGTTCTTTCTATAATTTTTTTATGAAACTTAAAAAGACTTTGATTTTGACTAAACCTATAAGATCATTTTTTTTTTTTTTTAGGGGTTACAGGGGTAATATATAGTTGTTCGGTCCTATTAATTTGATCCACCCAGCTTATAGTTATTAGCTACTAAAAAAATAGCTAGCTGAGGTGGATCCGAAGAGACCTAGTCAGCTACTGTAATTGTTAGGTAGGCAATACATTAGAACATTGATAACATACGTATGCCGACCTCCCAATAAACAGTACTACACTGTAGTGCAAGCATTTGATTTAGGGTAAAAAATGAATAGGAAAATGGTACGTGACAGAGACTCAGAGATATGGAGTGGTGAGTTGAGAAAATATATTATGAAACTGTAGAATGGGACAAGCACTGCTTTGCTTAATATTTTGTTTGTAGTTGGGAGTTGAGCGACACTCACTGCGGCCTGCAACCCACTACCGTGCATACGCATACGCGGTGTTGGCGATGGTGGTGGTAATATTATTTCTACTTCTTATTTATATATATAAATATATAATGGTGGTGCTTTGTTTAGCTGAATACTAGCTGGGAGTTGGTAACCAATTCGATCGAGGTTACATACATAGTTGTGAATGTTATGTGATGCGCGCAACAAACCAAGGCTGGCATCTGGCAGGACTATTATTGGCAGGCAGGCAATTACCAAGGCTGGATCGGCCGGCCGGCCTCCCAGTCCCACTTTTTCGGCTGCAGGTGGAGGTGGGGAAAAAGTTAAGCTAGCGTGCGCTTTGCTTGTGCATGGCATGGCATGTGCTCCGATCCTCCTCCTCGAGCCGCCAGAGTGCCATCCATAGCTTGGTGGGAGCTACTGACCCTCCTGCACAGCTGCACTGCACCCTCCATTCTTCTTTCTCCTTTCCTTCCTTCTTCTTTCTTGACCTTCCTTCCTTCCTTCACAAATCGCAAGGCCGGGGAGAAAGACTGACACGTACGTCCGCTAGAGGCAGAAATGGAAAAAGCAGCAGACCCAAAGGTAGCGGCAGCACGCACTGGGTACTCACCGACGGCGCAGAGCCACAGACTGCTTGCTTGCTAGCTTGGCTCTTCTGATTCCTTCCTTCCTCCATCGTCGTCGTCTCGTCGTCGCCGCCGCCGCCCCTGCCCCCGCCCCCGCCAGGCCGCCACGACGACTTCCCATGCTTGGTCGTCCTGCCATCCTCGTCTGAGGTGAGGCTTCTCCCGCCTCAACTGAAATCCACGGCCGTTGAACGAAGCTCCGCTCCCTGTACGTACGTGCAGCTCTGCTCTTCTGAGGTCACTGCTTCCATTTTGCATCACCGACTAACTCTTAGCCTCTTAGCTGTTGGGGTTTCCTTCTTCATTTCTACTTGCCCACCAGTTGCGCCCATATCAATTACTGATTCCAATAGCACAGGAATTGAGCTGTATGTATTTTCATACTACGTAGGTCGTCCTGAAAATACTACATGATTTTTCCCCTTCTCAAAATACAACATGATTTTTTAACATATTATATTACTACATGATTTCATATCTTTGTGTTAATCAACAGTTCATACCCAAAAAAAAATCATACCGGCTACTTTACCGTTTGCTCGCTTCATCGGCTGGCTGCAAATCTCCTCTCGCAGGGACCACACCCACTTCCTACAGAAAAGATCAATTGGCTCGATGAACTAAGCAATGAGGACAGCTTAAGGGATCAAATTACAAGTGCAGAGTACTGGGAAAATAATTATATAGGCAAGGAAGACCAAAATGGGGAAGAGAAGACAGAAGCCGCTTATACGACGCCAGGACAACAGCCGCATAGGCTGCATGGCAGGCCTCATCCGCATGTTCTATTCCCGCCATGACGCCAATAAGCTCCTGTTGGACAGGAAGCAAGGGAGCAGCAGAAGGCACACTTTCAGTGGCTTTCCTGGTAATTTTCTCTCTCCAGGCCGCCAGCTGCTCAAGTCATCACACTTAAATGGTTGTTTCACTGTTGTCAATTTACCCGATAATATATGGAATTCTGATATTGTTGATCAAAGCCATAAGTGACAGGGATTGCTGTATAGGTACTGCAATTGCTTTCTTATATGATATAGGCAGCTTCGTGAAATTGTGTCAGTAAAGTATGGTACTATAGGTACTGCAATTGCTCGATGTCAGTATGATCTTAATATATGGCATTCTCCCTTGAGCTCTGACTTTTTGTGATTTCACCAGAAAATCCTCCTAAACTAGACTCTAGGACCACCTGACCCCACCCCACCCCCAGGAAAATATTAAGACATCTGAGGAAAAATATCATATTTACAATCTTGGTTCCTGGATTTGTAATGCTACTGATGCACCCAGCATGATTGCAGGAAGGAGCCACTCAAGAAAGAATTCCAAGGACTTGGACGAAATAGATGAATACGACGATGTAAGTTCTCTTCGTATATGTAGATCTATAACACGATGGTTATTGTGTTCATGTTCTCCAGAGTAAAAAAAAAAGTTAGTCACATGTTTGCTGATCACTACAACAGTCTGCTTAATGATTTTGTTTACGCCGCAAAGATGCAGCACATGTCCAATGAACATAGCCATTCTTGATATGCAGTTGCTTTTCCACCTGCCATTACTAGTGCTTCTTCTAGCATGTGTACTTTAATATCTCCCACAGATACGTTTCTAGTTAACAATAGAAGGGGTTAGAGGATACCCAATGTGTATTAAAATCAGGCATACTTTGCATGTAATATTAGCATGATAAAGCATCAAACTGGAACTGATTTAGTTTCCATCAAGTTTCTATTCTATGTAACACTTGATATAATTGTATGCATTATCTCATTTTTGTAATTTTTAAGCTGCACGTGTTACAGCTTATATTCTGAAAAAAATTGCATATCCTGTGCTCTTATGTTTCTCAGAACATGGAGGGATCCAGTTCGAGCAAACCAACAACAGTCAAAAGACTTATGGAGGACGAGCTAGGAAAGGTAAAACAGCTGAAGATTCCAAATGATGAGGTCCAGAGAATATTAGCTGACCTGGGACATGGTGCCTGCCTGGACAAAAGTTCAACCCAGAACAGCAAAGCGAAGGGAAACCAAAATCACAGCAGAAGTATCACCATGGCTGCTCCATCTGGATCTTTGGATCCCACTGGTTCCAGCTGCATGAAAGAAGCAGAAGAAAATGAACTTGAATTTGCCTTGGCAGATTTCTTAGGACAAATTCATGGGGAGCATGATGACCAGCCTCATAAAAATTGCAAGAATAATGGGGAGCTATGTACGGAGCTGAAGGTCCTAATCCAAACAAAGATTGCTGAGTTAGATAATCCTCGTTGCACACTTGCTTATGAGCAAACTCCACAGGGTGAGGAAAAGGATACTGCTGATGGCAAACATCTATGTAGCAGCAGTGAAACTCAACCCAAAAAATTCAGAGATGCACTGGAGATGCTAAGCTCAGACACTGAACTTTTCTTGAAGTTACTTCAGAAGCCAAATTCACATATTTTGGAGAGCGTCCAAAGGCACCAAAACAGGCTGATAGGGACCAGGCTAGAGCCCACAAAAATGGCAGATAATACCGACTCCAACAAAGATACAAAGAGTCTGAATCAGCATGAGTTGGCCACCAAGACACATGGTAAAGAGAGTAGGCATATCTTTTTCTGGAAGAAGGAAAGATCAAACAGAAGGCAGACTGCAGAAGGAACCAGTAGTAGTTCTCAGCCAGTCAACAAAATAGTTATACTGAAGCCAAATCCAAGAAGAGAGATTGACCATGCTGTGGCTGTAAGTTCAACTCAAGCTCCAAAATTAGGTGCAACTGAAAGCTCAAAATTTTCAATTAAGGAAGTCAGAAGGAGATTCAGAATCGTGATTAGTGAAGCTACAAAGGAAGACCCTCAGTGTCTGAAGATAACCTCAAAAAGATCAACATTGTTTCAAAAGTTCAGCTTTCACGATAATAAAAGATACCAGACAGCTTGCTGAACAGACCTCGGAAGGGAAATCCTCATCTATAGTTATAAAGGATTTTAGATCATCAAATAGCAGTAGGCAAAAGAAAAGGAATGATGGATCAACCGAAATTAACAGTAGCATAATTACATCATCAAAGGATGAATCTGTCTTCTATGACGAGGCCAAGAAACATCTAACAGAGATTCTGAAGGACAAAAGACAAACAACCAAGCACCCAACACTTCAGATCTCAAGGTCCTTGGTGAGGATGCTCTCCTCCCTCAGTCCAGCACATCATCACCTAGGAGTAGCCCTAGGGCAACAGACTGCATTTACCTTTCACCCGAAGAGACAGGCATTCATGCAATATACAAGTCAAAGAGAGAAGAATTTTTTAAAAGAAGAAAGCCAGTCAGGAGAATTTTCAGAGAGTGTTGTGTGTGATCCTAGTGAAGCACTGCATGAGCAGGCTGTTCAGGAAAGGTGTTGCGCCAAAGAAGAAAGTCAAAAAACAACACAAGAAGGTAAGTTAAAACTTCCATAGTTAGCAAAATGGTTCAACAGCACACATGCTTGTTTTTTTTTAAATATGGTAAAATATTTGCAGGTGCTGAACTTGACACTCTGTGCACTGAAGAAATTGACAAGCTGGATTGCGTGGAAAAAAATAGAAATGCATGGTGCACCCCAGCAAAGCAATGCACATATAAACCATCACAAGTATGTTTCAGCGAATATTCAGTGTTGTTCCATCTTGTTTCCATAGCTTTTATTATTTTGATGGTTTTGTGTACTTTACATTAAAGGATATGGTGGAAGAAGCAGAACCAGGACAAGTGCATGTTGGAACATTTCCAAGCTCCCCTGAGAACGACTTTGAAAAACTAGAATGCCAAGAGCCCACAACTCCCCGACCGAGTGCACCGATTGAACAGATATCACAATTTTCTCCTGATGGAAACCATGAAAAGCAAGAGCAGCCGAGTCCTGTATCTGTTCTTGACGTGTTCTTCCATGAAGATGTCGACGGTACTGACACTGAAAACATGATAGAATGTAAACTCGTCAGTTCACTCAAAGTCAAACTTGCAATTTCCATTAATATTGAGAAAATGAGTGTTCTAAAAATTTAAATGATTTATTTTGGTCCTCCAATGATCTACAGGTGAGTTGCACAAAGATATCTTGAGGACACAATACACCACAGGGGATGGTTCAGACCAAGGGATTTTCTGGGACTGGGAGGACAAGGATCTCAGGTTAGGTTACATAAAGGAATTACTAGAGCTTTCAGAATTGTGCACCAACCAGAACTTAGAGGTATGGTATCTAGAAGATGAATTGATCAGCCCTTGCTTGTTCAAAGAACTACATCAAGGCAATCAAATTGATGATACGAAGCTTTTATTTGACTGCATTTGTGAAGCTGTGACGGAAATCCAGGATATATACTTTAGAAACCCTCCATGCTTATCTTCTCTCAGACACAGCATAAGGGCACCTCCAGCGGGACGAAACCTTATCTCAGAAATCGATAAGCATGTCGAGCGCCATCTCCATTATCAATTTCCAAGCACGTTAGACCAGCTGGTTAACATGGATCTTGAAGGTGGCAGTTGGATGGATCTTCGATCAGAAAGTGCAGAGGTCACTGTAGTAATATGGGACTGCATACTGGATGAGCTTCTGGAAGAAATAGTTTATGATTTGTGGATTTGAAGCTTCAGTCTCATAGTCAGTAATGGAGTCTCCCTAACACCATCTGTAGATTTGGTAGTACAACAACTAGAGTCATAACCCGTAAATAGAAGTCGGCATACTGACAACAGCATGTTTGTGTGGCAAAATCCAGTAATTTGAGCATGGAGGGCCACAGAAAGAACATGTGCTTGTGAATTTGAGTAGTTCACTTTAGAGTCCGAGTACAGCAGAAGTCATTCTTAAAGACATCAGTGGAAGCTGTTATGTGACATTTTCCTGAGCCATGCAATGGATACAATAGCTTTCAGCAGATTCACAGTTAATAGCATGGTAAGGGATGTTCTTGGGGCCAAAAGCACGGTAGCATGCGGCTCACTGTGGGGTCATGTGAATTTCATCATGTCCCTTGTGTGTATTTTGTTATTATGTGTGTATACTATCAGTTATGGGTGACAATCAACATGTTGTTTTTTAAGCAAAGTTTAGAACATGGTGAGTGTGTGAGCATATGTGTGTGAATGTGAGACAGAGAGCGTGTGTTGGTTTAGTTTGGTTGTGTACACTAAACTATCATCAATGAAAGTATTTCAGTTAATTCAGATCGTATTTCAATTTTGTTTGCTTGAATTGCTCTACTGCTGAACTGACATGTGTAGGTTAACCTAGATTGAGTTCTAAAATCATCACGCTCACGCTGAATGAAAATGGACTGACTACATTTTTCTTCCCTTTTTCAAGAGTGGGGACAATTGGTTACTAAAGTCAGCATAAAGGCTAACTACCCAGGTATCACCACCCAGAAAATCAGCAGAGACACATCCCACTACAGCTGCGGTTGGTGGGGATCGAACTGGAGTCTTCAGCTAGAAAGATGCAATAGGTGGCTACTTGTCTTTCCTGAGTAAATTGTAGACAAAGTTGGATTTAACTGATTGATTTTCAGTAACAGCAGGCAGTAACATGAATTCAATTCTTAGCTTGCTATGCTAGAGTTAAAAGAAAAAAATAGTGATGTTACAGAGCAAACCATGCCATATACATGCAGGGCAGAAAGGACAGATATGCATATATAGGTAAGACAGGATGGTATCTCGGCATACTACCATAACAAATGTTCCCTTTTTGTTGAAGTAGAGATGAAAAAGGAATAGACATTGTCATTTGCGAAAAGCAAAGGGCGGAGAAACATAATCCCAGTGATGGATGATGCTTCCCACCAGCAGGCATCAAGTAGTGTTTCTATCGCTAGTGGTTTCTCCAGGATTGGAAGTGGAAGAAAGCTGAATGGTGGCTGGGACCTACACGCCCCCCAGCACTTCCTAGTCTTAAATTCTTTTACGCATGCATCATGAGCTCCAGGTGTTATGCGCCCTACATCTACATCTACATACATGCATGGCAGATCCACCAATTTAACCCCACACTTAAATTTGGATCAGAAAAGAGCTATTGGGCCCCTAAAAATCGCATGGTGAGTCTGCCCATCCCGCGAACCAATGCAAATAGATTTGGCCGTTTGGGGGCAAGAGATGACCAATCGAATGCTTCCACGCCTAATTCGATCGGGACTCTCATTGCACCAAGCACCAGAATAAATTCAAATTTGATTAGGGAACAAGACTCCTAGAATTTCACGGAATCGATGTTTGGAGGAGAGATTGGGACTCACCGCTCAGGAGCACCCGGGAGTCACACGCGCGCCCAAATTTGCAGAGCAGTGAGACGCGGTGGCCTATGGAAATCTTTTGTTTCCATCCGTGTGTTGGGATGATGGAGTTTCGGTACATCCGCGATGGAAATGAAGACGTTTCTCAGTGATGGGAATTTGAACTCTCGTGAAAATTGCTCAAATATTTTTTTAAAAGGCGATAGCAGGAATTCTGCTTTCAATTAATTAAGATAAGCAAACTGAGCGTAAACCAGGCGATGCTGGAGTTGGCCGGAGCGATTCCTGGCCGCCGGCGATGGGGAGGACATGCACCAGTGATGGAGGCGGGAGAAGGTAGATGACCACAGGAGGCAATACGGTCTTTTCACTGTCCTTTCTCATCCGCAAACTGCGAAAATTAATATTTTAATAGTTACGGTGTCCAATGACAAAGAAGCACGATTTCATAATTATATTGGACGTATTTCCGAGTTAGCTGTGTCATTCAGCATATAACACGTTTCTCCGACGCCCCTACAGCAAATTTTGCCAAGATATTATTAGGCTCCACCACCTCGTGCCTATAAGTACGACATGCGCTTGTTAACACTGGATTTTGGTCGACTTTGGAAGATGACAGGTGGGCCCGCATGTGGGAAGAAGGACATTCGGCAAACAAAACGAGCGGTCGGCTAAATGTTTGTGCGGTCGGTTACTTCAGAAGGTGGTGACTCCATTCAGGAAAGCAGAAGATGGCAAGCAAAGCCGATCGAAAAGATGAAAGTTGTAATAGTAAAGGACTCTGAGAGTTTAGGGCAACAAATCGTAGTTTCCAAGTTTGTTTAAGAGTTCCTTTGTAAATCGTAGTCTTTTAGGACTCGTGTTTTGTCTAGGGTATAAATATTGACCCTCGGCCATTGTAATAGGGGTTCACAACCAAATCAATACAACCGGCCCCGTGCCTACTTTCGAGTCTTTTTGTCGTAATAAATGAGTTCTTGAGAGAGGAGTCATCGATCCGTCGACCTCCGTAAGTTCCGACAACCTTGTTATCATGTTTAGTATCATGCGGTGGATTTAGACGTGATGCAAGTAGTCTTGTTTGTTTTCAATGATCGTAAGGGCGGGTCTTTGCTTGACAATCAAGAAGTCTTTGCTTATACTTTGTTTATGAGTAGATACCGTATGCGGCGCGTTTGCTCAATATGCTTAGTGAAAGCAAGGCATGTTATCGGCTCTATTAGATACGGGCAAAATCTAAATAGATTCATTAAGTTATCCTGTGTTGCATGTTTTAAATATTTTATATATTTGTAACACACTTTCGCCCAATCTAGATTGATATTGTTCGCCCTCTCCTATGGTTTTATTCGTGCTTCAATGATCATTACTTTCATATTACCTTTGCAAATAGATAACATGCTCATAATGGTTGAATTATTTTAATCTAGATTGTCACATGTTGTGGGTTCATGCATGTTAATTACATTTAAGCTTTGACGAAACTAGGTGTCGTCTGCGGCGGATCAGAGTTTTAGATTAGCTTAATCGTGTTTATTTGCACGTTCCTTCTTCATGGACCCCAACTCAATTTGATCATTGAGCTTGGATATGCATTAACGCATAATTAATTTCACTTGTTCAAACATGTCTTCCCATGCACATGCATTCGGCAATCGGATCTTTACGTGTGTTCATCTTACGATTAGCCAAATGGTTTATAAACTTGTTGGCGAATGACTTCATATAGTCAGTATGTCGTTGTAAAAGTAACTTCGTGGTCGTATATATGGAACTATCTGGTCTCACCCGACATGTTCCGGTTTGGCATTAACTGTTTTATCCTTGTTAGTTTTTTTTTCAGTCAAATGACCGCACGTTTCCGGATCACGAAGCACCCGGCACCCGATTGAAGCCACGCTTTACGGCTTCTTGTGTGTGTGAGGCACAGTGCGTCACATTTTGTGTCAACACACTTTTTGGCACGCCTAGTGGGACCATCTGTTAGTTCAAGATGGCGTCTAAGATCAACAATGATCATGTTCTGGATGTGAGCATGGCAGAATTGCCAGATAATTACTGGGATTTAGTGCTACAAGCATGTGAGCAATACCAACGGAAGTGTTTGATGTCTTTTTCCAAAAACAAGAGCAACAAAGTGTTTCAAAAGCGATCAATGCCAAGGGTTCTTCTTCCACATCAAACCGATTACAATCAAGAGGAGGATGCTCGGAAGATGGCAGCCCTGGTTTATAAAGCTATGGGAGAAACCATGACAAACCATCACACGACTTTTTACGAATACCTTTCGGGCAATCATGATCAAGTACTTTTGGTCCAATGGTTGATAAATACTTTGAAGAAAATGTTGGCCCACTCGGTGGACCGACACTTTTCAATGTTCCAAAGCATCAAGAGAAGCTGTTGAAAAGAAGGAGCATCGACTTCAAATATAGGTGGATTGACTCACACTAAAAAGCAATCACATCCCACCTATGGCGGCTGTAACATTTGGTACCACAGAGAAGTGCCACTTTCAACATATAGAGTTTCTCCAAAGATCAAATAGATTGCGAAGAATATGTATGGAGATGGGTATCAAGAATTTCATGATTACAATGCTATCAATGCTTGTGTACCAAATCCGAGGTATAGGAGTGCTTGAATTGCCTTACGGAGTGCAGGTACAAGGAAATCGAGATTCGAGGGCATTGATGTTTTGATGCACGATGATGGCTGATATGATGCGAGAATCGGTTTTGGCTTGAAGCCAAAAATCAATCCTATTCATACAAGTCTCCTTATCCAGAGTGGTACAACAAAGTGGCGTTACCTCCAAGGGTGAAGCCTCCAACAGATTTGACCAAGTTTTCTGGTCAAGATGATACTAGTACCATAGAGCACGTCAGTCGGTACTTAATGCAGCTTGGAGAAGCTGCTTCAGATGAAGCTTGGAGGATTCGATATTTTCCTTTGTCTCTTACAGGACCAGCTTTCACGTGGTTCACGTCTTTACCAGCTCATTCCATTGGTACGTGGGTAGAGCTAGAGCAGAAGTTTCATTCATATTTCTACACGGGTACTAATGAGAAGAAGTTGGTCGATCTCATGAGTCTGAGGATGAGAACAAATGAGACACCATTGGAATATCTTCGCAGATTCAGGAAAACCAAGAATATGTGTTATTCTCTGAATTTACCAGATGATCAACTACCTGGAATAGCTATAGCAGGAATGTTGCCGAATATCAGGGAGAAGTTGTTCGGCATGGAGTTTGATGATCTTGGCCAACTTGCACAGCGTTTAGCAGCTATGAGTAATCAGGCCCAAGGATTCAGGAGAGATAATCGCTTTCAGAAGAACAATGCCA